CCTCCTGTATGGTCCTAACAATGGCAAGCTGCATGCGTGTGAGATGGTTTAGACCTCGAAAAATCAGAACAAATCCATATATGAAACGAACCTTCGGAAGGCCTAGCAACGCCCTCCGCCGTCGACGAGGCCATGGGGCGTCACGGCGTTGTGCTCATGGTGACGCGCCACACCCGGAGGCGCCGCCACCATGGGGATGGAGATCACAACCTGGTGGGAGATGCCGACGCGGGGAACGGGCCATGGGATGCCGTTGCCGAGGCCCCACGATGGCACGACCACGCGGGTGAAGCGAAGATGGGGCGACGCCGCTGTTGGTGAAGAGGAGATGGGTCATGGCCACTGTTGTCGCGGGGGAGCACCGTCCACGTGGGATGGCCATGCCACGGCCGGATGCAAGGGAGGAGCCCTGCTGCCGCGGCCACCACTAGAGGGGCATGGGGAAGGCGAGTCGCGATCTGATCCACCGGCAGAGGGAAAGGGACGCTATGGCCAGGGACCGCCATCGCAGGGGGCCGTGGACGGCGCCGCTGCCTAGCCGAGCGGCGGCGCCAGGAGCGCCAGTTCGAGGCGCTAGATTCGCCAGGGCAGGGGAAACTAGGCTCTAGCCCTCGGCGGGTCTGGAGGCTGGGGCACGCCGGCCGAGAATGCCAGGATGGGCAACGCGATGTGTCTACACCCGCATGACAGGCCACCGCGCGCGCGCCAGGGTAGGGAGTCTGGGAACGCCGCCAAGAATGCTCGATCACAGGCGGCGGCGGCATGCCGCACGGGCGGAGAAGTAGCTGCTTGGCAGCAGCGGTGGTAGGGAGAGGGGTCGGACGGGCGGTGCCGGCGGAGGGAGGGAATGAGGAGAGATGGAGACGGCGTGAGAAAATAGAAACCGCAAAGAAATAGTGGGTGGGGGAGCTTCGGAGCGGCATCTCGAGCTCGTGAGTGGGTGGGCTGGGCCTATGAGCGGGGAAACCGTCGCGGATCCGAGAGAGGACCGGCGCGGGGAAGCGCTCGTGGTTGGCTCAGTCATTTGGACTCAGGTACTGATTATTATTCAGTACCCTGGGTAATACATAGAATATATATATATATATATATATATATATATATATAAATATATATAATATAGAGTCAGCTCAAGGAAAAGGAAAAGTGTAGCATACGAGGCGTACTGTACTGCTAATTACTGTATGCGTCCTTCGGATTTTCTTTTTCTTTCTTCAAGGGCCCCCTCAGGCCTCAGCCCCTCTATAAAGCTACGTACTACCTGCTGACTACCGCTGCGTATCACTTCCTCCTCCTCTCCTTGTGTTGTGAAGAAGGGCGCGCTCTCTCTCTCTCCACACGGCTCCTCCAAAAACCCCACTAGCTCTCCACGGCTCCGGCGCACCGCTCCGCTCCCTCACGCCGCTCTCCCCTAGCTACCATGTGGATGTGGTATGGTCCATGTTATTTCTGCCCCGTCCTGGTCTTCTTTCTTTGGCACAATCCTCTTATTCGTGAGTATGTATTTGTTTATCAGCAATCTACAGTACGTATGAACCACCAAAAATGTTACAAAAAAGTAAACTTGTCATTATTCTTTGTAGTGTGTGTTGATTAATCAAGCTTTAGCTTTTAAACTGTAGTGAAGTTTAAAAGCTATCGTCGTTTCCGTGGATATATAGAGGAACTTGCTCCGTTGCCCATATTAAATTAAGCATTCGCACAAAATTCAAATCTTATTTCTGTTTTTGCAATTTATTATTCTGTGCTACTAGACTCAGTACGTGGGGGAAAAAATAGTGTCCTTTATTTCCAACGTACTACTGTACCTTTTATCAGCTGTTAACCAATTTTAAGGAAAAATTATATCTCACAAGACCGTATCTGTTGTATCTCCTTTGTTTCTTTCTTTAGTATAAATAAATAAACAACTATAATCATCCACTAGTGCAGGAGTGGGTTTCAGCCCCGGTTGGAAAACCCTCTCTAGTCCCGGTTTTCCAACCGGAACTGCCAATCCGGGAGTAAAGACCCAGCTTTAGTCCCGGTCCCCTCAACCAGGATTGATTTGGGATTTTTAGTCCCGGTTGGTAATACCAACCGGGAGTAAAGGAGGCTCCAGCCCGAGCCCTAGGGCTTCCACGTATTACACCTCCAGTCCCGGTTGGTATAACCAACGGGGACTGAATGTCTCTTTTTTTCTTTTCTTTTCTTTTCTTTTACAGTTTCTTTGCATTGAATATTGTACGCACATATTAAGAGTGAAACTAATTAAGTAAGATGTTGTATATTACAATGATCATCCATCCCACAATCAAATTTCATACAAACCATAATAAATTTAAACCAAGTCATTATACACTACATGTCCAAGAACTCCCCAAAGTTCATGCAAACATAGTATGTCACCTCTACTACCTAATGAAGTTGACTTTCTCATATTTCAATTCGGTGAAGTGTAGGTCACCGATGTGGTATACAAAAATATCATTGATGAAGACCAATGCATTAACTAGTGCACTCTCCCTTGATTCACAACTACGAGCACAGGGTCTACTAACAACATTTAACGGTGCTGGTCTCCCCTCTTAGTCGCAAGCAGCTTTGCCTGAAATTCTTCAGTAGTGAGTGTTGGACTTTCATGAGCATATTTCCAATCATAACCCAATTGTAGCTTCAAAACTGTACCCTTTGTAGGTTAAGTCATAGTCCTCAACCTATAAGTGTTGGTAGAAAAAAAAGGTTATGAGAACCAAGCTTTGCAACATATAACAATAAATCTAGATATAAGCTATGAGTTCGACTTCGACTTTACCACATCATTTCGGTTGTTCCGAGCAATGCTTGCACAAAAGCCCTCAATATCATGATGCATGTCCACATTTATAGCTTGTATCAGCACGGAGGATAGTGTAGGCAAAGTGTACCCAATATTCTCAAGCTTAGTTACACATGCAATGACGGCATATTTTTGTGCAACAGTCTGCTGGAGGTGCCATTATTCCCATCTCTGAGATTTGTACAACACCTCTACCCATCCTAGCGGTGATGGAAAAGCCAATTCAACATTGGATTAATGGACCATTATATACATGAAAAGTCTGAACAACCATTTCCTGAACCCAAATTTGAGAGTGTCTCCTTAAGCTAAATGATTGGGTCAATTACCTACACACTATGTATTACCTGGGTACCGAATAATAGTCAGTACCCGAACCCAATTCATCCTATCCGACCGAGCCAACCAGGTCGATCCCGGCGCCGCTTCCCTGTTCTAATCTCGCACCCAGCGGCTTCCGTAGCTCCCGACACGCCCCATATCGCACAACCGGCGCTTCCGCAGCTCGCATACCCCAAGTCGCCGCCGCTCTCGCTAAGTAGCTCGCCGTCGCCCTTCTTCAGTTGGGCGTCCGCTCGGCTTCACCTGGAGCGCGTGGTCAGCGGGGGAAGCGGCGCCGCCTTCCCTCCATCGCCGGCACCTCCCTTCCGACGCCGTTTCACCTAGAGCGCGTGGTCAGCGGGGTAAGCGGCACCGTCTTCCCTCCATCGCCGGCAACTCCCTTCCGACGCCTCTCCCGCCGTTCCTCCCCCCAGCGCCGCCCGGTCGCAGAGGCAGCACGCCGCCCGGTCGGACGTGCTCGGCTGGCCTTCTCCAGCGTTCCGCCCTGCCGTGTTGCCGCTCAGCGTTGTAAGAAGCAGCTCCCTGCGCTGTGCATTCCTAGACGCATCGCGCCGGCCCTTGATTGCCGATTACACTACGTTGATTACCGAGCTTGCATCATTTGGGATGGAGCCGCCTGGTTCCTCAGGTTTCCTTTATATCCTTATTCATGTATCTCGCTTTGTTGTTCCCATTAATTTTGTGTCAAATTGGTTTCACTATTAGATTCCCTGATATGGGTACTCTTTGTTAAAAGGCAAGCACATTATGGAAGTATGAAACTATACGCCATGCTTTGCTGCTCCGAAGTCATTGAAAGCAATGTTTGTTTCAATATTAGAACTTTAGAAGATGATATTATATTCAGCCTCAATCAATTACAGATATCCAGTTTTTAAGAAATAATATATTCTTCATAGTTGTGTTTAATCAGAATCACAGGTCCCTCAATTTCCATGTGAAATATTTTATTTACCATCATGAAGATGATATTATATTCAGTTTCAATCAATTACAGATATCCAGTCTTTAAGAAATAATATATTCTCCATACTTGTGTTTAATCAGAATCACAGGTCCCTCAATGTCCATGTGAAATATTTTATTTACCATCATGAACTAGCTGCTTCATTTGAAAAGAGTAACATATCACGTATTCGTAGTTCAACAAGTGCTCCCATCAGTATTCATGTGTTCAATACCTTTGAATTAATAAACACAATACAGTAAATCCACAAGAAACTGCACAGCAATACATCTACCCTGAGTTCAGACATTAGTCACAGCTGTCTACCTCCAGTGATCTTTACTAAATCAGTAAATCATCTGTGAAATGTACAGGCCCAGCTATCAAATTATGAATGCCTCTGAACGCTCTAATATCCTTTTACAGCGCGTGGGTTTAGGATAGAAACTCAGCCTCTTAGCCTTTTAATTGAAGAAGCTACAATGCCTCACCCCACACATTTTGTCTTATAGCATCTATAATTTGAACCCTTCAAATTTAATTCTGAGTAGAATATATAACTGCAGTTGTAAGCATGAGGTAGAGGCACAAAAACTTCCTATCGTTACAGTCTCACAAGTTAGATGGTTAAATACATGGATATGAACTTGACAAGATATCCTACCAGCGATCTTTATGTGGCATTCTACAAATAGCAAGCAGGCTAGGCAGCTGACTTTTGGAAGTGTTTAGGTCACAACATCAAGGTCTTCATTTTTATCAGTGCGGGTCGGGTGTGCACTCAGCCCACCAGCCTGACTTGGTGCAGAAATCAGTAATCAGTTGCAAAGCATGTACCCACACTCTGTGAGACCTTCGATGCCTCTGATAAATTCGTATTGGGTTTACTAGCACATGTACATGGGTGGTGATGGTAGAGTGTTGTGTGTTTTCGTGCGCGTGTGTATGCCTCATACTCAATTAGTGTCTTAATAAAAAGAAGACATAAGACAGATTAAACCACACACATTGATTCAGCTTTGCATTGTTTTTTTTTTGTTCATATCATACACGTATTTTTTATTTATGGTGTCATTATAGTTTAATAAAGCAATTCTATTTATTCTGCATTTGCAGAGGATGCCCATGCTGGAAAAGGTCCTGATTCGTCAGCTAAAAGGTTCTTTGTTTCATATTCCCATTATGTTATTTTTTTATACATTCACATTGACTCAGCAGTTGCAACTACATTGTTCTGTGGAGTCAGCTTGTAATTTTAAGTTGTAGAGTATACTAATGCAGTATTCTAAATGCATTCTAAATCATTGACTTCAGAATCCGGTTGGAGCTAGTTGATAAGATGCCTGACAACCCAAAAAGGCTTGTATTTGAGAGTACTCAACAACGGTCAGTACATGTTTTTTTTTTAATTTTAGTGGCCTTTTCCATTTGTTGTATCTGCTTTTCTCTCGGTTAATGTGATCATTTCCCATTTAGGTATGAGGTCCCTTTGCGATAAGACGAGAGGTTACCCTCCTCTCCTGGTAGAACCTCTGCATTGGCTTCACGAAATTGAGGTGCAAAGGGGAATGGCTATACTATAATTTTAATCTGTTGCAATATGGAGTTAGTATTTTACAAATGACTAGACAAAATTAGATACATTCATTTACAGCTTATATAATCTTGTTTATGATTTTTTTATTTATATTTATATGATCAGATGTATGTACACATAATTTGAGAATAATTTAATATTCATGGATTTTAAATTTTGCTATCTTAAATTTCCATTGTTCTTTTGATTCCACTTCGGCTTGTCCTTTTGTTAATTAACACTTTTCATCTTGTTCTGAAAGCTCACAAGATTTTTCTATTCTTAAAATCATCTACCTTTGTTGTTTATTATTTTCCTTTTCTGGTCCTTTTGGTATTCAGATGCAAGTCATTCCCCTTCTAAGAACCCTGCGGTAGCACCTACTTCTCGTGACCACTCTCAGAGAAGGTACTGTTTACAATCTTGTGTACCAAATTTCCCACCAATCATAATCATCTGAGGCATATCAGTGTACTCTTCCAATTTGTATATTCCGTACAAACATGCTGCACATAAATCTGCTTCTTCTATTCCCAATGTAACCGTATCCCTGGTTTTTTTTTCATAAGTTCATGGTTCATTTTTTTTTCCTATTTTTTTGTAGGACTCATGCTGCTCAGCGTATTATGGATAGGGTCCCGTCTAACCTGAAGAGGGTGGTTTTTGAGAGCTCGCAGGAGAGGTCCATACGTGTTTCAATTTATTATAATTCTATTTATGTCCGAGAATCGCCGATTAATGTTAATTCTTAGTCTGTTGTTAAAGTTTATCTGTTTGTGGCCTTTTTTTAGGTTTGAGCATCATATTCGACCAGGGCATGTGTTGCCTACTGCAGCTGGTCACGACAGTGATGATGACGACTTCATGCCCATTCCCAACGCCCGTTCATTCTCACACATCGACAAATCTAAGGATGTTGGTCCGAGGAAAACTAGGCAAACACGAGCAGGATTGTCGACCGGTGCATGTACAGAGGTGTATACCATTTATTTACTTTTGCACTTTATTTTCATAACAGTAATTATTCTAAAGCTCCTCTTTGTATGTATCACTAGTTTGTTTTTTCCTTCAATATACCACAAATCTACTATCATGTCTTTGTTGCCAAATCTCTACTTTTCTATATCTGTTTTGCTTTCTACGACTAAGGTGGCAAGTGAAGAAGCAACAGGAAACTCTAAGGACGAAGCCAAGTTATTTTAGATGCAACAAAATTAGCTGGTCACACTTTTGGACACTGAATTACACTATGTAGCTTTTGAGCAAGGCATTGAGCAGTTCTGTCTTGCCTTTTTGTTCATATCAGCAGCTTTTGCAAATTTAGAAGCATCAAAACAATATACATGCTATGTTGTGCTTATCAGGTTTGGTGCATCAAAAAAAATTTGGATGGAATCCTGTTCATCTGTAATCCATTTAGCTAATACAGAGGCCACGAGAACTTATTTATCCTCTTTTCTCACTCTTTGTTTTTTATGCAGATCTCAGGCGCTCGCCATCAAAGCATCCTCCATCTACTCCCCATGATTACTCACATAGGTAGTTTCTTCTACTATTACAGGGTTTGTTTGTGTGGCTAATTATGCTTGAAGATTTACAAGAGTATAAATATTGCATTTGTTTCCTTTGGAAATTAGCTTCTTTTTCAGCCTTGCTAATTTTCCAATTTTACACATTTAATTTATGGCGGCTGTAGCTTCGAAACCATTAACACTAGTTATTTCTGATTTTTATCATTTTAGTTAGCTTTCCACCAGTAGGAGACGTCTTCTTCTTCTGCACTCCATCAGCAACAGTGGCGTGCCGATAGCACGAAAAAGGTATGCTCGACAATGCTCTACACTTTTTTGGATTTATCACTGTCTCCACCCATCATAAATTTGGTCTTGTTTGTATGATTTATCTATCTTGATCTATGTATGCACTTGTTGATATTATAGATTTAAGGTTTCTTACTGTTAATCATAGTGGTATGCTTTTCACAATTGCATGTGTGAGCACCTGATGCTCATATGCTCTTGAATCCCAAAGCTGATCATTGTTGTTTAAAATTACAGGTTTATTAGCTATTGGGCAATTGAATCTTAGTCAAATTGGTGCATGTTGATTATTGAATTATATGAAGGCGCTGCTAGCTTGCTATGGACGACCGCTTTTTAATAGTAGGTACCATATTCATTCTTTAAGAAAGTGAAGAATTCACTTGATTCAGCATTTCCACAGAAAATATAGAATGCATTCATTGAAGTTTTAGTCTTAGAATATCCGTAACCTACAGCTGAATTTTTTCGAACAAAAATTATATGTGTCCGAGGATTTATTCATACTATTGTGTGCACATTCCCTCAAATTATTCTTTATGAAAGTGAAGAATTCTTAAACCATTTCAAAACTGCAACTTGCATCTGAGATTTGGCCAACCTAGGAGGAAAAAGATGGCATTGGAAACAAGAAGAAATAAGCACACATATTTGAGCCAAACAGGACTTCAACCTGGATGGTACGAGTGTACATCCACACCTCCCACCAACTGAAACTTGGTTCAGTTCCTTTGATCTGATTCTGAGATACTGTCTTGACTTTTTAGCTTTTCCATATTCTGGATTAGTAACTTGATGTTGGGATCACAATCCAATATTTTCGAGTCTCTAAGCTACTTTTAACTTTATGTTTCCTGCTACATGCAATTGACCAGCTGCATTACTGTTTATTCTGCAGGGACAAGTTGCATGCAGTTTTAAGGTGCCAGTAACAGATGTTGTTAAAGGACCACCACAGGTTGTGGACTACAATACAAAGGAAGCCCATGGGAACACTGCAGTTGAGTTGGAGACAACAATGGTAATGAATCAGCCAATCCTGCTCAACTTCTTATCGATGAGTGGCCAATCCCATTTGACGTCATCAACAATGAAATCGTGCTCACAGGTCAGGCAGCGCCCCGTGCTGTAGTCCACCAGAATTCACCAGGCACGCCGCGCCACCCGACTGCCATGGCGAAAACACCCGCGACATCGCCCATGACGCCTTTTGGTAGCCGCAGCCCCATGACCGGGCACCCCTGCTACGGATGCGGTGAGGAAGGGCACTGGATCAGTGCCTGCCCTAAACGATCTTCCCGAAATACCTGTTGCCGTCACGGCATGGTCGGTCACAGGCAAGCTAATTGTCCCCAGCCGAGAGGGTCTTAGAAGCATGTGAACTGATGATCTCATCTCATGCTGCTTTGGGCTTATGTGCCTCATGTAATTAATTATAAACATTATAGAAATGGTCATGCATGTAATTTATTATAAGATAGAGAGGCGTGTTGTTGACTTGAATATTACATTTTTTTGGGTGCAATTTCACACGTTTAATTTAGCTTAGACGAGGAACATGGTAGATTGGATGATGAAAGCTTATTTCTTTTTAAAATGAGCATGATTGGAATTAACAATACAAATGAAATGTAGACCAGCGTGGTTCGTAAAAATGAAACCACCAGCATCATTTGTTGTCACTCTTCAAAAAGAAGTGCTAACGCTATGGTGACAGTCTGGACAACACAAATTAAACAACCAAAATGGTGTATATGCTTTGGTGATTTTGAAAAAAAATCATCGATCACATATTATATTTGAATAAAAAAACATGATTCTCATGACCCTCCTTGGTAATCAATGGGTGATAAACCCTTACTGGACCAGCAGGCCATCAAGGTGATCCTCTAGTGTACAAGCAGCCCCACAGGGTAGTTGCTGCAAACTTGATCAGAAAAACACATACTCCTGACATTCCCCCACATAGGTTATCAACATGGATGCTTCAGTAAGTTTCAGCATTTCAGCAATCCTTTAGTGAGAAGTTGTCCCATCAGTGTTCTACTTTCTGTTCATCATGAAACTTAACTTACATTTGCAACATGCATAACAATGGGCATGTCCAGTTTCATCAATCATTAGGCAACATCAAATTACCTATACATCCCAAATGTCAGAACACACGCCACTTGCAATGCACATTAGAGTATTATGACCAGATTCTGAATCTGACACTTTTAGAAAAAAAATTTCAATGATTGATAAATCATACCACCAGCTAAAACTTCATCACATCGTAGCAACCCCTTCTCATAGCATTTTGCCATGACGCATGGCCCCTCCAACCACTCACTTTGTATTACTCCCTGCAATCCTCTTCATTTTTCTCCCTCGTTGTCACTATCTAGACCAGTATAGGTGTTTTCTGCGACTACCTTCTGTCGTGGCTTCACTCTATTGTCCTCCTCGCCGCGATCAGTAACATGCTCCCAGCTTACCTTTTTATTTTTAGCGCCTGGTGGCCTCCCTCTCTTTTTGTTCTTCATTTCTTCAAGCCTCATTCTATTATGTTCCAAGCTGAGGCATGTCCGCGCATTATGTGTAGCGTACTGCCCACAAGCCTTGCACTTTCTCGTGCCCAATTTCTCGCCTAATGCTCCAAGGGTTACTGCTGCCTTCTCTGACTCTGTCTTGTTCCTTAGGCTTCGCTTTTTCAGGAGGCACCAGGTTTATCAATGTTGTCACATCCTGCAGACACAAAATCAGGTTTGTCAATCCTTTAGAATATAAGTTTCAGAGTAAGAACAAATGCACACATCAACTAGTGCCCAACGTCTCTTGATTTCCATGTTTGCTCATCTACCTGTTCATGTTGTGACCCTTCTTCACTTGTTGCTGCTGCTGCCTTTTTCTTCCCTATTTCTTTATTGCAATCCAGCACATGGCTAGCCTCAACTCTACATGTGGTCCCAGATTCCTGGCACATGTTTTTCATTTAGCAGTCCATAGAATCAACAAAAACATACATCAACCCTTTTTTACAATTCACTTGAAAGCCTATAATCATGTCTATGCTACTACAGATTTATTTCAGATCAGCATGAAGATCATGGTACATTATCAAGCCAAATACAGTAGAGCACATGAACTATGCCATATGTTGCATTCATTCATGATGGTGTAATTCACAAAAAATATGTGATAATATCAAGTCAACACGGTAGTCTCCACACTGATTCACCAATTTTTCAGATTAAATGAATAACTAGTTAACTTGTAGTTGTGCTTGTCAAGCATGACAAAATCTAAAGCTAATCAGTTATGCTTGTCAACTGAAATGGAAACAATGGAGCACTACTGCTAATGAAATGTGTTTCTTAGTAACTAGTTAATACAACTTCCTAAACAAGGAATTATATGACTAATCTTAAACCAGCTACTTCCCCTACACATTTTTTTCTTTACCAACTCATTCTCAAAAAAAAATTCTTGGCAGGGATCAAAAATAGGATTCAGATGTTCCATTGCAATCACAAGCAAACTGACACATATTGTACAACTAACTTTATTTTTTCTATTTCTAAAATAGCTAAGTGCTATGGTGAAATTTCAGGCAGCAGTAATATAGGATCTGATATAGCATTTGAAATAAACCAAAATCCACATCTCCATTTCACCTTTACCTTTATTTCTGCTGCCTTCATTTGTTTTGAACAACCTCCATGTAGTAACTGATTCGCAGCTGGTAAAATTTTCTGTCCACAATTCCAAATATATAGTCCAGAATTAACATATATGGTTCACTAAGGTTCACCCCCACTTGCTTCATTACTTAATGTAAAAAAAACATACCCGTGTTATCCTTGTCTCCTCACATCTTCCTTCTTCAATGCCATCGTCGCTGCTGCTATCTCTAGAATTGTCCTACATGCCATATATAATTTAGAGACCTCCTTTATTACTATATGTACATTAAAATAGTTCTTCTTTTACTAACATGTCTTTACCTCTGTCCTTGATGGACCTTGTCCCTTCCTCGCTTCTGCACCAATGTCTGGGGGGATATTGTCTATTTCCTTCGTGACATCTTCTAAAACTTCGAGCAATCTTCTGTAAGCAGCGTTAGACATGCTCCCTGATCTGACCGCCTTCATAGCTTTTGGTATTAGAGTCTTTGTTCTATAGCTTTGTGTGTTGCCGTCCTCCCCGGTTAGAAGCTTGTCGCTCGTATCAAAGTCAACCTCCCTCCTAGCGAACCTTGTATAGCGTTTAAAAATGTATTCACGTGGAATCTTGTCTACTTGGACATGAATGAAGGCACGCAAAAGGTGCACGCAAAATAGTCCTGCATCGACAACAACTTTCAGTACCGACATAATTCCATGAATCCTTTAAGATACTAGTGTCTTTCCACAATACCTGTGTGCTCCCACTCCCTGCACTCGCAACTGTATGTCCCATTGACTTTATCTGCCTTCACTTTGAACTTGTGTTGTCCCCAGCTTATCACTTCTGACCTATTCGTGTGACAAACCCTGTACCAATGCTCGCCTAGCTCTGGATCATCCTCTATGTTGTATGCGGTGCAATGGACCATTTTTTTTTCGAAGTTTCTGAACACTGCCCGTGTATATATCCTTCCTAGTTGAACCTCAAATGGCCATTTGTTCTTGGTAAGTGTCTTGCTCTGCATCAACAAACGACACAATCGAAACATAAGTTTTTGCATAGTGTACTACCATTTCAATCACAGTACATTCAATGTTTAAATTCGTTTTACCGTTGCAAGGTATGTTTCAGCTCCCTCCTTCATCTTCCGTGTCTACATGAAATCTAGAGTACGCTTTGCAAACTTGTGCAAACATGTCTGCTTTCCCACAAAATTCTTCTTAATCGCATAGTTACTGCTCTCACTACGCTGTGTCGATGTCATCATCCCACAGTAATCATCTTTAAAGAAAGCTGGGATATACCTAGCTCGTTGTCGGAATAAGCTCTCCATAGTGGCATTTCCTTGCAGATCAAACTCTGTTATCAGTTCTTCCCATGCTCTCTCAAATTCGGCGGGTGTCAGGGGGTGATTCAGCACCAACTTGAATTTTTCCTTGAAGTGTTGTTTCTCATAAAGGCTGAATATCTCATTCAGGTTCGGCATATGCTTGTTAACCACATGCCACCGACAAATCCTGTGGATGACACCAGGGAATTCCAGTCCTATGGCCACTTCCATTGCCTGATCCTGATCTGCCACACATAGGAGCATGAGGATCGTTAACTTAATACAACCAAAACAGCTTGAAATTGTTTTTCATTCTACCTTCAAGGTGCTTTCCACTTTTTTAAATAGTTTTACTTTACCTGTGATAATGCACCTAGTCCTATGTCTTCCCATGCATTTCTTGAAAGCTTGAAATACCCATTGGAATGTTTCTATTGTCTCATCGCCTAACAGCGCACATCCAAAATATGTGTTCTGTAGGTGATGGTTTGCACCCACAAACATAGCTAGTGGCTTCTCATATATATTTGTCTTGTGCGTGGTGTCGAATGTCATCACATCTCCAAAATCAATATATTCTGCCTGCATGCTAGCGTGACTCTAGAATAAGCTATGAATCATCCCTTCTTTATCGATCTTGACATACCAACAAAATTGTGGGTTCTGCGCCTTGCAGTCTTTAAAGAATTCTAGAAGCTTCGCAATGTCATTGGCATGTTCTGCCCTCACATTAGCCACCTTCCTGCAAAATTTGTTACTATTACACAGATGTAATCGGCAGTACCTATTTACTGGATGGTACAAGAGTTGGCACACACTGACCTGTTCTCAAGATCCCGCCTGGTCATTGGCACGTTCTCACCTCCCCCATGCATGTCCCTAACAATGTTCTGTATACTATGATGCGGGACATCCGCTGCTTGGAGGTCATCAACAAACTCAAGTAATACCGGATCCTTTTCCTTGCGTGATCTCATATTTATTATTTCTTCTTTCTTTTTAAGACATGGATGGTTATGCATTAGATCCACTTGCTCAATCACCACTGATATTTCATTCTTGTTTTCATCATAAATTCTTTTAAGCTTCATCTTCGACATGCAGTGTGTCTTCTTTGTGGTATTGTTCCTAACACGCAGCTCCTCATTTTTTTTAAAGTAAGTATGAACCCCCTCATTGCTGCACTGTATAATATATGAATATGTTTTACTGTTTCCATAGCTCAAATTGAATCCAACCTCCTCGGTGTACGCTTCATAGAAAGCCCTGGCCTCTTTTCGGTTTCTGAATGACAGCCCAGGCCTAGGAATGAGGGCAGGATCAATGTCTTCTTTCTGCATACAACATATGCAATTAGATATTTCCATTTTCCACCAAGAGGCAATGCAAAATTGCTCGAATTTTTATCTCAGTCAAAATAGATTACAGTGAATTTCAGCCTATATAAGACCTCAACATGTCTGGTTCCTCAATCTAAATATTGTAAGCATGCACATTACAGCCTATGTCAAGTTTGTACATTTACTTTTTTCATTATTTCTCAAGTCTGAATACTTCTCAGCTCTATTTTCTGAATCCCATCATCACAACTTTGATCATTTGGTAATTTTGAAACCTAATTTTATTTCATATTCACATAGCAGAATCTTCGAACTTCTTATTCAAATGTCACAAACAAGCTACTCACATGGGTGTACTTCTTTTCGGCATCTAGTGTAGCGTTCTCGCTTTCTGTAACTATTGCCATTGGTGAGAACATGCCTCTGCTGGATGATGTTTCGGCTTCTGAAATGCCAGCCACAACATCCTCGTTACGGCCTGGTGTGCACGATGATGTTCCACCTTCTGAAATACATGCCGGTAACCCATCGTGACCTTGTCCTGATCTTCCATCTGCCACAGCCACATTAGTTGTGTGCATTGTCTGTGATGCTGACGATTCAGTCACAACCCCTTTACAATTGCTCTTCTCTCCAAACAGCTGCTTCCGGCAACCCATTCTGATTTAATAACTTTACTGACTAGTGGCGGAGCTTCGATTCATTCAAATAATCATTAATCTGAGAAACATCACAGAAACATATAAGGATTACTGCATAGCCATAAATAAAGGCTATGTGAAACATAAAACAAGCACACATTATTACTTCTGATCTCATCCACTACAAGTGAAGAAGTGAAGACATCACCCGCAGAAGCATTGCTCCACAAGATAAAATTCATCTCGTTCACTCAGCTTGTTTAATTTGGTCACAAATCGTGCCAGGTAGGTCATTAAAAATGATGTACCAAAGAAATCTCAGCTTTCTATGACAAGTTCAAGAGAGATCTCAATGATACAAGAATCTGAGGCAGGTACCATGAGCCAGGGCCAGGGCATTCACTTCAATAAAAATATTATTCATGGTTACAAGTCAGTTGATAAGCTGGCTAAAGCTGTTTTGTTGTGAGAGAAAAATACTGTAGATTTTAGCTGATAAGCCGGCTGATAAGTTCAAGCGAACAGGCCACATGGATATGCGCTTTTGTCAAATTCAAATGAACTGGCAGCAGCAAGAGGATTATTTCCTTTCAAGGAAGGAACAGTGAAAAATATTGCAATATATTGTAAATAAAGAGGGCAGGGACACCAACAGAGACAAAGCAAATATTCACTGCAATCAGTGAGCCCTGCATCTGTGTGAAGAACAATACAAAAGATGATCCCCTTGACAGATCTTGATGACTAGGACGAAACTGGCTGTGAAGTTTGGTACAGGAATATGATTCCCAACAGCTGCAGATATGCAGATACCAGCTCAATGCTACATGTTAAGAACCTCTACCACTAAGTACAAGATGATGGCACATGCTCCTTGACAATATGGATTCGACAACAGTCCCAATCTAACATGCTTACAGGTAGTCAGGGTACGACAGCTCGAAAGACCAATTAGTATAATCCTCAATACCTCAATATGGTTTGTGCATAAAACTTGGAAGGCTAACAGACCAGCTAAAGTTGCCAGGCTAAATTACAGAAGCCACTGGAGTGGAGGAGCATTATATATCTAGATCACTTTGGTATCATTAATCTCTTCTTACAAGAAAACCATGAGCATTACATCAATGTGCAAGGCTAAGGTTTGAGTAGCTGAATCTGCCATTTAATAACTAACATGCAGAACCACTAACTCATCCATGCGACAACTGAAAACAACAAAATTGCACCTCAACACTAATGCTGATGCTCTCATAAAGATCTGTACCTTAACCCTTTTTTCTTAGTGAACAATCGTATATGCATGTATGTCTCTGTACATTTACATAGCCAACAAGCAAGGGGGGTTAGCTGCTAAATTCACTTCAGACTGTATCTTTCTAATTCCTGTGCTACTTTAGTAAATTCACAGATAACTTAATCATTCTGCATCTGGGAGCACTCATATCTCTGCCAAAGCCCTCTTCTATTGAATTTTCATCAACTCACTACATCTAGTAACGCTTCACTTACACACTAAACAGATAATTTAATCAATCAAGGGATTTAAGAACCATGGATGGAATTGATAATTTTCAGGCTTCTACCTATTGCCAAAATGATGGAAGATGAATCTAATGATTGACGCTGATGAAGATGAGGAGCAGGCAAAGGCAGAGATATCATACCTGTAGGACGACGAGCACCTGCAGGCGCACCCCTCCCTCCTCCGCGACAAGGCCAAGCGCAGAAGGGCAAGCCTCCTGCCACCAATCCTGTCCCTACCTCTCTGCTGCAGCCACCGGTTTGTTGCAGCAGGCAGCCGGCGGTGACCCACACAGGTGGACGGTGGCGAGCCTAGGGAGGCGCATGGTGGTGGTGAGGGCGGCCACGTGTAACACCCGTAACCGACGGCGATTGCCGACGACGTGAGCGCAGAGGGAGGGATCGCCGGAGTTGATACGGAACCGAGAGGAACCTCTCTGTTTCACGTTTCTATTTCTGAATATTCGATGATTGTCTTTACACGCCACCGAACCGTATAAGACTGAAAAGCTACTGGTCCGTAGGACCCACATGTCATAGAGTGTCTATTACATAATATGGCCGATTACGCCTTCAAGTAGATAAGACGACTTCTCCTCTTTACGCCTTCACCCCATAGCTGTGACACCTCCCCCGCCTGGAGATCTTGCTTGTCCCCAAGCAGGCGCATTTGGAAACCTTGCTTGTAGCACATGGTAGTCTTCCCAGGTTGCTGTCGACTTGGGCAAACCGGACCATGTCACCAGGACTTGAGGGATTGCATTGTTCCCCTTTTTCACCAACCGGCGATCTTGGATCATCTCAGGTTCAGTTTCAGCAGCCTGCAGATCAGTGAGCATGGGCAATGTAGAAAAGATAGGTGTATAGTTGGGGTTGTATGGTTTCAATTGGGATATGTGAAAGACTAGGTGAATGTTGCTAGTATCAGGCAATTCCAGTCTATAAGCGACCTTGCCAAACCTTGCTGTGACTTTATATGGGCCAAAGAACTTGTAAGCAAGCTTGGGATAAGGCCGATTAGCTACTGAGGACTGTGTGTAGGGTTGAAGCTTTAACAGTACTTGATCTCCAACACTGAATTCTTTGTCAGTCCGGTCTCTATCAGCCTGCATTTTCATTCTGTTCTGGGCCTGCTCCAGTCTTTGCTTCAAGAGTTGGAGATGAGCTTCCCTGGATTCCACCACTTCAGCTACCTCTATGGGTGCAGTCTCAGATGTGGATACAGCCAAGCCCAAGTTGGGGTCAAATCCATATAATGCTTTGAATGGAGAGCACCCCAAGGAACTATGAAAGCAAGAATTGTACCATAGTTGGGCCAGTGATAACCAGCTCTTCCATGTTCTAGGTGAATCCTGAACTGAGCATCTGAGATACATCTCCAAGCATTGGTTTACTCTTTCTGTTTGGCCATCACTTTGAGGATGGTAGGCAGTAGAAAGTGATAGATTCACCTTGTATAGCTTAAACAGTTGCCTCCAGAAGTGACTAACAAAAATGGTGTCTCTATCAGATACAATGCTCTTTGGTAGGCCATACAACTTCACAATATTGTCCAGAAACAGATGTGCAATGGTAGCAGCAGTGTATGGGTGCTTGACAGGAAGAAAATGGGCAAATTTTGTCAACCTGTCGACCACTACCAAAATGACAGAATACCCTTCAGATTTGGGTAACCCCTCTATAAAGTCCATTGACAAATCTTGCCATACACCAGCTGGAATAGGGAGTGGTTGCAAGAGGCCTGATGGGTGTGAATGTGAATGCTTAGATTGTTGACAGATTTGGCACTGTTTCACAAAGCTATCAACATCACTTTTCATACCAGGCCAAATGAACAACTTCTTCAATCTGTGATATGTTGCATTGACCCTAGAGTGGCCTCCTAGGGCACTAGAGTGGAAGTCTGCAATTAACTTGGTTTGCATAGCAGAGTTTGGACCTACCCAAATCAAGTTATGTTTCTTGATCACCCCATTTTTCAAACTGAATCCATGCTCATCGTGGTTGTTGATGTACCAAATTGTGTGCTAACAAATTGTTGGGACTTTGCATCAAGAGCATAAGTGTTACATACCTCTTGTACCCATTGAGGTTGTAAGGTAGAGACTGCTTGAACTGCCATTAGATGAGCAACTCTAGAAAGAGCGTCAGCTGCATGATTTTCCTTCCCCTGTCTATATATGATTTTGAATTGCATTCCCATCAATCTAGTCATGGCTTTCCTTTGCATATCCGAAAAGTGCATTCTGCTCATGCAAGTAGGAAAGAGATTTGTGGTCGATGAGAATGAGGAATTCCGCCTTTGAAGATAAGGTCTCCATTTCTCAACCGCCATGATCAATGCTAGAAATTCTTTCTCATAGATGGACAATCTTGTGTGCTTGTCACCCAAGGCCTTGCTTAAATAAGCTATTGGTGGCCCTTACGCATTAACACACGTTTCCAATTCCATCACCACATGCATCTGTCTCAACAATGAACCGCTCTTGGAAATTGGGTAATGCAAGTATCGTGTGTATTTGCCATGGCTACTTTCAAATTGTCAAAAGCTTCCTGAGCTTGAGATGTCCACTCGAAAGGTTTTGTGTCTCAACACTTGAGTCGAGTGGTTTGGCAATTAGACCATACTTTTGCACAAATTTCCTATAATAGCCTCGTTAAACCTAGAAAAGCCCCGAGTTCTGTTGCAGCTCTTGGGGTTGGCCAATTCAACATATCACCGTCTTAGTTGGATCAAGAGCAACCCCTTTGTCGAGAGATGATGTGGCCCAAGTACTCTAAATCTGCTTTGAGCAAAGGAACACTTGGAGGCTTTCAAATAGAATTTATGAGCTCTCAGTGTTTCCAAGACTTGCTGGATGTGAAGAAGATGGTCTTGTTTGTTGGCACTATAGATTAAGATGTCATCCAGAAATACTAAAACAAACTGTCTTAAGAATGGTTGGAGAAGCTGATTCATTATGCATTGAAATGTAGCAAGTGCATTTGTCAGGCCAAATGGCATGACCTTGAACTGGTAGTGACCCTGATGAGTCTTGAAAGCAGTTTTGTACTCATCAACTGGCAGCATTCTAATCTGGTGATACCCAGATCTCATATCCAATTTGGTAAAGTACTTAGCACCTGTCAACTCATCCAAAATCTCTTCCACTATGGGCATTGGAAACCTATTCTTGATGGTTATGGCATTTAACTTTCTGTAATCTACACAAAATCGCCAGGTCCCATCCTTTTTCTTCACCAGTAGCACAGGAGAGGCAAAGGGACTATGGCTGTGTGTAATCAAACCAGCTTGCAATAGTTGTTGCACTTGCTTCTCTATCTCAGTTTTGTGCTGAGGAGAATAATGGTATGGTCTGGAGTTCACTGGTACCGCATCTGGAAACAAGGAGATAGCATGATCATAGCTTCTATGTGGGGGTAAGCCAGTAGGTTCTTGGAACACATCAGCATACTGATGTAATAGCAAGTGCAATGCTTCATCCTTGGTACTG